GAGATGAGGGCATAGCATCATAATATTCATCCAAGAATTTTGGCTCTTCGAGTGATGGCAGTTTCTCTTTAAGTTCTGATCTTTGTTGTAATACAGAGTTAGTAAGTATTTTTTCAAAGTTTTTGCATGTAGTAGATTTTAATTGTCTTGCTTGTATTTTTTCACTAACATCAATTTGTTTTATTGTAAATGCTATTTTAATTAAAAAAAAACTAGGGACTAATGAATCTTTGTAGACAGTTGAAGATACAATAATGATATCTTGTGGTTTAAAAATTTCTGTAGTAATATTGCTGAGAAATTTTACAAGCTTATTCAATAAATTAACTTTCACAAGACCATTATTCGATTCAGCAGTCTGTTTAATCCATTTACTAAATAACTTTAAGACAAGTGTAGTATCAGCATCGTGTTCCTCCCAGTCTAGACATGTTTTAGTTTGTTTTTTACTTTCTCTTTCTGACTAAACATGCAAATGGCCTTCATGCATTTCAAAGCAATTTGTACAAATAAACTGAGATTTATCATTATCTAGTGATTTAGTCAATAGTCTTTCATGTTTAGTGATTGCTAGGCAGTTGGATAATCCATGGCATGAAACTTGAACTATGTGTTCATAAACTTTCCAAATATGTAATGAACAGGTTTTACCTCTTGTAAAAAAGCATTTGATTTTCTTACAAAATAAACAGCAACATGATGTAATTTTGCTTTCTTCAATTGCTACCATTTGTTTTATGCCAGAGTGCAATTAAGTTTGGTCATAGTTGAGATGGTGCATACAAATGTCTAGTTTTAAAACCTCATTGTTAATATCTTTTACAATTTGGGAATCAATCTCCCATGTACCAGATAGTTGATCTATTCTTCAAACTCCTGCATTATTGCATCTTTTAATTACTTGTTGGTTATTATCTTTGTCAATAACAACACAATTTGTAAATTTTTTAGTATCACCTGAAGTAAAAGGCATATCAAATTCCTCCTTAAATATCTTTATCTTGGTATTATTATCTTCAAGTAATTTGTCACTTTCAAGTAATTTGTCCTTCACTTTCTCAGCAGATTTGATTATTTCTTGTACTCTTTTAAATAAATTCCAATCAAATATAAGAGTATCATTATATGCTGTCATTTGTTTGATACCAACATTAGGTTCTTGGCTAAAGTTATTAAAAACTTCTTCAAGGTCGAACAAAGTTTCAGGTAAGAATTCTTCTATAATTTTTTGTTTTCTGTTTTTTTATAGTTATTAAATATAATGATTTGAGCTAAAATTTATTTTATTTCTTTAAATATAGACAAGTGATGTAGTTTGAGATAATTATTGAAGTAGAATGGACCACTATTTATGCATTTTATTTCTGCTATAACGAATTTATGAAGCTAGAATGATCAGCTTACTGTTGCACTAAATTTTCTAAAAATATAGGCAGTGGAATTCATATTCAGTTGAAATTCAAATGAGCAATTTGAATTATGCAATCATCAAATAAAAACAAAGTTATACTCCAGATATAATATTAAAGATTTGTGTAGTTCTTGAATGAAACCTTTTAATTTCTGAAAACTTACACTATTTAGGTTTATTTTCATTAGATTAAATCTTCGAAATCCTAAAGTCTTCTGTCAATATCTTTAAAGATTTTTGTTAATCCTTCTTAAACAAGTATTCGGATCCTCTAAGATGTGCTAGACAAAAACTGAATTTACTAATATGTACTAGACAAAGCAGAATTGCTGTTTAAAAAAAAAAACAAAGCTACAGAAATTTGAGATACAGTTACAATAATTTTTTTTCTATTCTTTGTTTTTGATGTACTATGGTTAACAAAATTTTAAATATTGCTAAAAATATTTGCTTTTACTTTGATCTAGGTTTATAATTATTTGGAGTTTCATCTTTTACAGATTACCACAGAATATTTGAAATGAATTTTGGACAAATTTGGAATTTTAAAAAGATACCAATAACTCAAGATTTTATTGAGACAACCTTCTTTTGGCTCTTAAAAATGTTAATTAAATTTGCATGTATTTTATTGTTGCTTTGATGTAGCTTTTCAAACTAAAAGTTAAGAAACTGACAGAACAAATTGGGATGTCCTAGGACAGAATGGAACATGGCAGGGTCAAAAATCTTGGGTCAGAATGTATAACACTGCATGATGGCGATTCTACTTTTTATTGTTTAATGGTTTATATGCTTCGATATATATCAAAAATTTTAATAAATTTAAAAGCAAATATGCATTTATTATATAATTTTGATTATCATTATCATTTAAAACTAATAATAATCATTATTTTTATTTTATTAATTTAAATTTATTGTAAAAATTCAGTTTTAAAAAGTAAAACATTGTTTTTCATTTGATAATAATAAAAAACAACTATCGATTTAACCTACATCATTACTCTAATATAAAAGTTAATAACCTGAGCAATATTTAAGAATCTAAATTTTTGTACATGGCATAAAAAAGAGGTAAAGTTGCAATTGAATTATTATGATTCCATTTTTGCAATTGCGGCCACTACAATTGATATCTGTCTTATCAAAAAAAAAAATTTTAAAATTAAAAATAATACTAGGAATTAAATTTTTGATAAACTTGGTTAACCGAGTGTTATTCATTTATCAATTAGGTTTTTCCAAAGCTTTTCAAAAAAATTTTCTGAGTGTATTATTATTAGCATCATTACAAGAATTCAATCGACAAACCTATACTAGTACTTTCTGATGATATATTAAAAATAAATTAATTTTCAAAGGTTTTCAAAATCTAAATTCATTCTAGTTAGAATAAAGAAAATTTTTTGTTACCTCATTTTTTCAATATTGGATCATAATTTATATTGCAGTATACAATTAACTCTGGACATAACGAACCTTCCTATAACAATATAATGAACTCTGGATATAATAAACTCAATAATTTGAAATTTCAAAATAGTTTAGTATAAAAAGTGCTGTGGGTTCTTAAAAAACTAATTTTCTATAAACTTTTTTTTTCTTCCAAAATCTTTGTTATAGAAAGAGCTGAAATCACATTATAGTGTAAGCAGTATAAGAGATCTAAGAGGTCACTAGAAATCTATTACCCCAAGTTAAAATCGAAAAAAAATTAGAACTACTTGCAATATTTTAAAAGCAGAAAAGTGAGATCTATAATACTGCACTATATATTATAAAACGAAAAGCTATTTTTGTAGATGAGATTATTTTGGAGATTACTTTTTATCTCACTTTGAAGTTATTTATAATATTGTATTTGATTTTTTAAATTGTTAAATTATGTCTCGTGAGTGTGGTTTCCTTTTATGAAACCTTTGAAATAAGCAGTTAAAAAAGGCAATTTGTTGCAATTTACTATTAAAAGTGGGCTTATATATGAATGTAGATTATTCAAATTTCATAGTAAAAAATTTATTCTGTGATCTGCATGAAATGTTGATCAACTGATAGTAAGTAATATAGTAAGTTACAGCTTTAAACCTGTAACTTACTATTTTATTTACTATAGTTAAGACAAGTTACAGTAATGTAATAACTATTATTGAGATGATGCTACTACATCACTATTTTATAACTGATTAATAACAGAGGTGTTATATATATTAGTGTTATAGTTACTGTATATTGCTGATAGGCTTTTAATTTGAGCTTATACTATACTGATATGACATAACTTCTTGTAAATTGCTGAAAAGCTTTGTTTGTATAGTCTACCATTTTAAGATTAATGTAAGTCAAAATTAATCTTAAGTTCGCAATAGGTTTAAATAGGCTGGAATTAATAATTTTATCAAAGTTACTAATAAAATAGTAGCCCATGTACTAAGTAATGCTAGTCAGATAATAATTTTTAGGGCTGGTATTGTTGCTTATTGCTAGCACAAGGATTATTCTGTTTCTATTTAAATTTTAGTTCCCATTTTTATATTGATATTTGTATAAGTATTATCATTACATAAGTTAAAAATTGCTAGTTATAACTTGTTATATTGCTTCTGAGTAGAAAATAGAAAATATAGATTAATTAAATCTTATATATATGTAAATTAATTAGCTAAATATAAAAGTATTATAATAATCTGAAAGTAAATTAAATGATTAGTGATGGTAGAATAATTAAGTAAAATATGAGTTGTAATGATTTAATGGTTATGTATTGATAATATGAAATGAGTGAAATCAAAAGGATTATTTAGTTGGTAGTATAATTTTATAGTAAAGATAAAAATTAATGATTATAGCTAAAGTAAACAGTATGTTTAAGTAAGTAAAAGTAAAAGTAACAAAGTTTTAGATAGCAAACAGATTGAAATATTGAAAATTGTTTGCATTATAAAAGTGATTTAATATATAAATTTGAGCGTTAAGATTTGAATTTTTTTAAAGTAAAAGTATTAGATTATAGGAATTTCATTATATTAAATTTTTAATGTAATTACTTATAATCAAGTACTGTATAAAAAATAATAGATGAATTTATAAGATACATAGTTATTTTTGACAATTATATAAATAATAAATGACAATAATAGTATTAAGTATGGTGATGAGTTATATATAAAAATTTAGAGAGTGCATTAAAATAAAAATTTTTATGAAGTATATTAAGGATTTACAATGTTATTATTAATATATATATAATTGGTTTTTATTTATTAAAGTATTTGATTAAATAGATACAATGTAAAGTTTTTTTGAAAGAAAAATTTGAAGTGTAAGATGATGGAATGAATATAATAAATAAATATTAAATTAGTAATAGGTAAATACTTACATTGGTGAGAGTAGATATTTATTAATATGTACTTGAAAGATGATATATAGATAGAGGATATAGAAGTTAACATGAGTAAAATTATAAAATGTAGTAATAAAATAAGAGAAAGAAGAAATATAATAGATAGATTACTTATTAAAAGAACCAGATAATAGATAAGTTGATGGTAAAAAAATATGAGCTATATCAAAAAGAAAAATTTTATTAACAAACTTCTGGATAAACAATATTTGAAGTAATAGAAATAGGATTAGTAATTTTGTTAGTAGAGTTAGTAATAAGAACTTTTAAATGTTTGTGAGAAGTAACTCTGAAGCAGGCGATGTATAATTGACTGTGAAAGAAAACTGAGGTCAGAAGATATAAACCAACATAAGATAAAGTTTGTCCTTGTGATTTATTAATAGTTAGAGCGAAAGCAGGTTGTATTGGAAATTGTTGACATTTAAATGTAAAAGGTAATTCTGTATTTGAAGGAGACATTATAATACGAAGAAGGAAAATATGATTTCCAGAATGATAGCTGGTCATAATTTCAGCTTCAATAACATGCTTCTGAAAAGTTTGACATATTAATCTAGTTCTATTACAAAGGCTATTAGAAGGGTTAATGTTGCGCAACAATATAATTGGGGCTTCTGATTTCAAAATTAGTTTATGAAGAGGAAGGCCTCCAATTAATAAAGAGTTAAGAAACTCTACAGGATATAGGTGTTCAGCTTCTGTCTGTTCTTCTATTGTATTTGCACTAAGATATTCAATAGAATTTCCAGGAAATTAAGACATAATTATAGTATTAATAGTATTAACATGGTCATTTTTAGGAGTAAGTATAGCATGATCAACTAAATAATGAGAATCTAAATCTGAAGAAAAATCGGAATATTTAGAACGTATAAGGGTGTTTAAGTCTTGAGATTATGAAACAATATTGGTAGGAAGTCAAATAGTATCTTTCTTAGTTCTACAGTAGGAAGATGGCCTTCACCAAGTTTAATAAGCCATTAAGAAAATCATTTTGTTCAATAGAATTAGTATAATTAGTAGTAGAAAGAAGACACATATTGATAAATAAAGTTAAAACTTCAATATGTCTTCACAAATATGAATGCATAAACAGGATCCTACTATATCTTCTTGTCTATCTCTTATGATAATAGAAAGAATTTGGTGGAAGTCTCCTCCAAATACTATGACTTTGTCTCCAAACAGTTTATTTTCTAATATAGGATCGATGGCTTTCATGAGATCTCTTAAAGTATGATCTAAAGCTTCAAATGAGTTTTATATGCTATTAAAGCTTCATTCCATATAATAAGAGAAGATTTTTGTAAAAGTAAAGCAAGGTCAGAGCCATGAGAAATTGAACAGGTTGATTCTTCATGCAAATTAATAGAGATTTTGAATCAAGAATGAGCAGTATAGCTATCTGGTAAAAGAAGAGAAGCAATTTCAGATAAAGCAACAGTGAGAGCAATACATTTATGTAACCGAACTTTTGCAAATAGAATACTATATATATATATAAAACGTTAAGTAAGAGAGAAATTATATAAGTAGTATGAAGAAATAAAAAATATTGCTTACTTATATAAAATAGTTTTTCCTGTTCCTTCTGGACTATTAATAAAATAAAGAGCAGAAAGTTAATTTTCAACAGCTGTTATAACTTTATTGTAAATTTTTAGCTGATCTTCATTTAACTAAGAAAGTTCAGTTTCTACAATAGTAGTAAGATCATGGATATTATAATTTAGCTCTTCAGTAATTAGTAAATTAGTAGAAAAAGTATTAGTTGGTAAAGGCATATTAGGAAAATCTTCAAGACATTTGCTATGTTTGTTCAAGATTGACAGTAAATATAACAAAGCTTCATTTGATAAGTTAGTATTAGTAAGAGAACTTTCATTAATAGTCGAATTTTGATAGTGGATATCTTCAGTTAAAAAAGTAAAATACTTCTTCCATAGTCTTTCAGGCATTACTAGATTACAAAAAAGTAAAATAGTTATGAACAAATAGCAAAGTTGTAGTTTAGATTAAATTTGAGATGCTTCAGATAAACATTGGTCCCATTTGGCATCATCATCTAGTAAACCTAAAGCAGTGCAAGCATCTTTAAAGATAGGATATAAAATACTATTTACAGTGCAGAGATTTATGAAAGAGGTAGCTCCACAAACTATGTTAAGAAGTAGTCTTAAATAATAACATTCACTCACTGAAGGGTAAACAAAATACATTCGACCTAGTGCTTTTTTACATTTTCTTGATGTCCATTCATTAGTTCATTTATGATAAACTCATTTAGTTGAAAAAGTTCTATATGTAACTTGTCTTGCTTCTGGATATTGTAAATTAGCTTTGAACCAGACAGTAAGAGTCAATTTTTCATTATTAGCATTTTCAAGAATATATTCTAAACTATCTTCATCTGTAAAAATTAATCTATGATGTCCAGAAAGATGAATTTGTAGCAGTATAATAGATGGATTTCTATTATATAAGTAAAAATAAAACAGATGCCAAGAAGCTTCTAAAGCAAAAACATATCAAGCATCAAGATAAAAACTTATTTCATTATTATTTTCTCTAAGAGTATATTCATATTGATGCATTTGTATTTCTACAGTAGCATGGGCATAGCCTTTATAAACATATTTAAAAAGATACTTTATAGCAGTAATTGATGAACAAATCTCAATATTTATATAACAATTAAATCTAGTTGAAAGATATAGATTATATGGTACTACCCAACAGTTGTCCAATAATGCTCTATGAACTTTGATAGTATGTTCATCATTTCTACATCTATATATAGAATAACCATCACTATTTATTGCAGTACTCTCTTGAAAACTTTTTGGATATTTTTTAGAACATGTTCTATTCTTCATACATGGAGAGCTTGGCATAAAGACACTACAAAGACCATGAAGTATAGATTAGTGAATAGTTTCAAATATAAGAGGATTACTATTCTTGTCAGGAATTTCTGCTAATACAATAGAGTCAATATTGTCAATGGTTCTAGGTTTATGCTCTTGTGCAAAGATAAGAAGAATATATGCATGAGGTAGTCCATGTTTCTGAAATTCAATGGTATAAAGGTAGGCTAAGACTTTTCCAAAAATAGCTTGCTTTAATATATTTTTAAGTAATACTTTAAGTTTTATATTAAAGACTTGAGAAATCAAATCTGAATGATCCTGTGCTGTTTAACTTGGAAAAAGCTTATTAGTAATTTCAGGCCATTGTGGATTATATGTTATTGTTATAAAAAGATCAGGTTTCTCTAATGATCTTACAATAGTCATAGCATCTTGATATAGCTGTTGCATATGGCGAGGGCCTCCAGTAAAAGACGAAGACAAAATTATATGTTGTCCTACATTTGCTAATCTAGAGATGTCATCTCCAACATTAAGAGCATTTGAAGACCACTATATAGTTCAAAGCATAACTTTTTTTGGTTAAATCTTAGATAGTTGAGACGCATTTGTTCTGTACTTGCATACATATCAACTATTCATTGCTAAAAAAGCCATCCAAATAGGTGTAAAACTATTGCTTCATCTGGGTGGCCAAGATGAAGAAGATATGCAAAATAATTCATAGCAGTTATATATTTTCTACTACTTACCTCCTCTGCAGTATTAGCTACAGCCTCCTCTGCATTATTGACTACAGCATTCTCTTCATTGTCGTCTCCAATATCTTCATTATTATTGGAGAGATATACAGAAGATATGAATAAACCATAATTGATAGAAATATATGAATACCAACTGTCTTCACCTCTTGGAAACATAAGAACATAGTATAAAGGTTGATATGTATGGTGTAATTCAAAAATTTTTTGTAAACCACTATCACATAAATGTAGAACTATATCACATTGTAATGGTTCAACTTTTTGTTCATCTTCAATCATAATAGCAGTGACTTCAGATGCATTAGGTGTATTATAATGTCTAGAATCTCTTGTTCAATTGTCTGTAATTAAAAGTTTTAAATCTAGACTTGATTTGAGTTTAGTATATTCTTGGCTTGTTTAAAAATTTTACAATACGGATTTAATTCATCTAGCATTTGTTGAAGATTGGCAAGAATAAAAGGGTCAAGACTAGGCATTATGTTCATTCTATTTTGTAGTTAATGTTCAGTATCATAAATGTATAGCTGAGCAAATTGAGGAGCAGCTCCATCATCAGGAAGAATAGTGCCTATACTATGATACATTTCATCATGAATACGAAAACTATAAATGCCAGCAGTTCCTGTTATATTAGGATCAATTTTTGCACCCATTGATGTAAAAGCTAGTGTGGAATTATACAACTTGATATTTTGTTTAAATGAATGTGCAGAAGAATCTGATCCTGTAAGAAGAAGATGTAAAAAAGAAGGCAGGTTCTAAAAAGAAGGAAAAACAATTTTGCCTTCAGCACAGCAAGTAGTAAAAATTAGAGAGTGTATAGAAGTGTCTGCTTTTCTTTCATCTATCTATAACAAAGCTCCACAGTAATGACATCTTTGATTCATATTTCCCAGACTATGTCTAGTTAATCTAAGTGAACAGACATGTGCCTTTAATGTTTGTACAGGAAGAGCCGGATTAAGAGAAGGAATCAGTTTATTTTCAATAATGCTAACAAAAAAACTTAAAGAGGAAGAGGTTAATATATTAGCAGTATTATTAGATACACATATTCTTTTTCTTGAAGAACCAGAGTGTTCAATATCATTGAGATTGGATAACAATTCAACTCTTGCATTATTATTATTATTCTCCAAATGTTGGTTTTGTTCAGATTCAGTAGTTGGGATTTGCTAATTATGGTAACATTGTTGATGTTTACGATGAAGCCTCTTATGACATTCATTAGGAGTTTTAACCATGATCTGATTTTTATAGATATATATTATAAACAGAAAAAAATAACATGATAGTATGAAAGTAGAAATAACAATTTGGCAAGTAATTATATTTCGAGTGTCTATTAAATATTTAGAATTCAGAATATAGAAAACTAATCAAGAAAACTAAAAATACAGAAAAGTGTTTGCTTTTATTTATTTTTTTTATATTATATATTGAAATAAAAAAGGTCTATTACATTCGAATATATGTGATATAAAAATATGATCATGTAACATGAAAGAGTAGATGTATCTATAAACTTGCCTATAATAGCCAAAAAAGATGTTCATGAAACAATCACTATTTCTAAAATAAGCTTATAATAGTAAAAAAAAAGATGTTCATACAACATTAAGTATTTCTAGACCCGATTTTAAGGAGAGTATTACACAAATGCATGTTTTTTTATTTAGAGTACTCTAAATATCACTCATATAAGTGGTTAAAAATTTCAATAGACAGAAGCATTACACAAATGCAGGTTTTTTTTATTCGGAATAATCTAAACATTACCTACATGAGGGCTTAAAAATTTTAATAAATAGATTTTAAGATATTCAAATATTTTTATATTTTTTTAAAAACTTAAAATATAATCAAAATTTTTAACTTTTAATTATTTTATTTTATTTTTTTTTAAAAAAAAAATTTATTTTTTATTTTCTTTATTAATTAGTTAATTTACATATATGGAATACATGCTAAAGAAACTAAACTAAAAAAGATAAAAGTAAGAGCTACTTTACTCTTGACCTATTCTTTGCTAAAATGGTCAATAAACCTCTAGTTGCATCAACAAAATAGCCTGGCTCCTCATGTTGTTTTTTTATAAGTTCCAGATATGTACTTCTTGCATTACCTGATATATGTTTTTCACAATGAATTTTTTGTATTATGTTGTATACATTACGAGCATGAATATATTTTTCAGAGTATTTTTTCTGCAAAACCTCAATAATTGCACCAGCTCGCACACTACTAGATGCCAGTAATCGAATTTCATCTTGTATGTCCTTTGTCAATCACTGATACCTTGGTTCAACCATAGTAATATTTTCAACTATTTCATGGTTATGAGTACCAATGATATTTAAAATATGAATCTGATTATTATCTTTTCATCAATATACATTTATATAAAAAAAGCAACCTCCTGTCTTGTGACCTTTATTTCTTTTATCAAGTACATGTGCTTCCTTATGTTGTATGTATTTCTGTTCTTTTGTATATGAATATACATAACGTTGAGGTTTCTTATCAACTTTATTAATCTCACTACGAGTTATACAAAACCTAAAACCATTCTCTTGACCATATCATTCAAAACACCTAAAAGTAGATATTAGTAAAAAATTCATCAACTTACCTTTTTTTTTGTATGACTTACTCATTAACAGATTTTCAAGATTCGAAGATTTGATTTTCTGCTAATGTATATTTAGATCCTGTACTTTCTTCAAATTCACTTTCTATATCAGACTCATATGATTTAATTACCCTTTCATCATCATTGTTTTGCAGGTTAAAATTATTAAAAACATCTGAAGAGGTCTCATTGTCATTCATGTCAGTACTTATAAAGCTATTATGATCATCGTTAGCACCAAAAATGTGCAAGTTGCTCATTGTAAATAGTAAAATTGTCCAGAGAAAACCCCCCCAAAAAAATAATCAACAGAAAAAGACAATTCAATGAAGTGATCCAAAGAGAAAACAATTGAATAAAACAATAACACAAAAACGAAACAAGATTCACAGTGAACCTGAAGAAAAGAGATGTAATAAAAAAGACAATATAATACAGCAAAAAGCGATCCAGAATAAACTCAGATAGAAAAATAATGCGAAATTGTCGAGAAACAGCTACAGATAGAAAACTGATACAGGCAGAAAAGCACTATGAAGGTAAAAACGATCCAAAAAAAACCTAAAAAGAAAAATTATATGAGGAAAAAAAGTGATCTAAAGAGACAGAAAGAGAAATTGTCAGAAGTAAAAAAAGAAGACATGTGAATAAAAAATGGTAAGTGAATAACAAAGCAATACAGTTAAAATAGCAATGTGAAAGTAATGTTATATGAAGTAAAAGGTGAAATACTAACCTGATATTGAAAAGCAACACAGTAAAAAAAAAATAATAATATGAAAGTGATACAGTATAAAAATAATGCAGTATTGTTAAAAGCAATACAGTAAAAAAAAATAATGCAATAACGTTAAACAGCAACATGAAAAAAAAAAAATGCAGTAAAGCAACATGGAAAAAAATGCAGTAATGTTGAAAAGTGACACAGTAAAAAAATAAAAAAATGCAATAACATTGAAAAGTGATACAGTAAAAAATAACATAGTGCTAAAAACAACAGTGAAGGAGTAAAGTAAATAAAAAAGAAAATAAAATTTTATAAAATTTTAGATGATCAAATTATGTAATAAACTTTGATCATATTGCATAACAAATATTTTTGTTAATTTATTAAATAAATATTTTGTCAAATAAATATTTGTTAAATAAATATGTCATGTAACTACATTGGTGTTAATCACCATAAGTGCATTTTATATTATCCCAATTTTTTTATTAATTAATAAAAAAATAAAAAAAATTTATTAGTAGCATATATTAATTTTAAATAAAAATTTTAATATATCATGCATAACTATATAAAAATGATCTATATGCTCTCTACCTTTAAATTTTATATATTTTTCTTTTATATTAAAAATTAAAAACTTTTTTTCTTTTTTGTAAAGTTCATTTCTACAATGTCTAATATTGTAATCTTTTTTTTATTTGCTTAGCTAAGCAGATTTTTAAGTTTTAATTTTTGGTCTTGAGTTTATTTATATTATAATATGCAATTTTAATTTTTTTTTACTTTTATTTTTCTATTTTTCTTTTAAAACCTTTTGTCTTGTCTTTATACCTTTTATTTTTTTTTTTTGCAGTCTTTTTAATAAAAAAAGATTTCTTTTACTTTTTTTTTAAAGTTCTTTTTTTATTTTGCAAAAGTTTTTAATCATTTTGCTTATATTTATTAATTCAACTGAGACACTTATAGAAAGAATTTGTTAATATTTTTATACTAGCTTTTTGACTTTTTTAATTTTTTTAGTTTATTTAATATTTAGCTTAAAATATTTTTTATATATAATCCTTTTTTTTGTGATTGAGTCTTAGTTTTAATTTCTTCTAGTTTTTTTTTTGATTATATTTATATATTTTATTTAATCTTTTTTATTTTGATCTTGAATTTTTTTTTTTTAGTATTTCTTATATTTGATTTTCTTTAATTAAGTTCTTTTTTTCTTCTATGTTTTTATCTATTTTATTTTTTGTCTATTTCTGTTATTAAAACTATTTATACTTAAGTTTTGACTACATCTAGTTATGCTATTTTTTAAAAGTTTTATTTTATTTTATTTTTTTTTATTATTTAATATACTTAAAAGTTATTATATTTTAAATAAAACATTTTTATTTAAGAACTTAAGATTATTTAATTTAATAAATTTTTATAAATTAAGATTTGTTTTTTATACAAAAAACTGAATTAATGACAGTCAGACCCAATATATTGAAAAAACTACAGTATTTTTTGCAGCTGTACAAGCCAAGCTTAAAACAATAAGTAATCTTGCAAAAACATCTTATTACTTCTTAGATTCTAATTCTTTACCTAACTCCAAAAACCTCTTTTGTTATAATATTTTCTTAATTAATCATAATCTTTCAAACTTATTATCTAAACAAACATTACTATATTTTATCTAATATCTAAAAAATAACTCCTTTAACAAACTTTTTAAAATCTTTATTAATAATACACTTATTGAAATATATATTTATAAAAATCTAAAATATAAACTTTTACTTAATCACATATTTTTTTTAAGTTTATATTATTATTTATACAATAATCTTTCTATTAAATTATATTTTCAATACTTAATTCCTTATATTATCTCAAATAGTATTTTTTTTAATACATACAATGATAATAATTCAAATCTTATTTTTTCTAATTTATATAACTCTAATTCTATAACTACTAATAATATATCTTTTTTACAAACAATTTTCTTATCTATTATCTTAATTTTTATAAAAATTAGTTCTCTAAACATTAATAGTTTACTTTAATATTTAAAAAAACTCTTACTTATTAACATTATCAACTAATATAATTTTGATATATTTGGTCTATCAGAAATACACCTAACTTCAAAAGAAGAAAAATATATTAACAAAGACTTTCAAAACTATTACTTAGATTGTAGGCTAACATAGGCAAATTTGTCTGCGTTTTTATATTTTTTTAGCTTTGATCTATTTGTTTAAATTGTTAAAATATATAAATAAAATTTAGTATAATAATTTTTAAAAATAAGGATTACTTTTTTGCAGTATTTATTTTTAAATTATAAGAAAAAAAAATTAGGTTGCTTATAGACTAAAAATATACAATTTTAAAAAAACTTTTTAGTAAAAAAATTTTTTAGTTTATCTATAATAAACTTTTTAAATTTTAA